CAGGAATGCACTTCGCCTGTGCTCAGAACAAGAATGCTTTCCTCTCAGGGTGAGTAGGCGCCACATGTAACTAAAGGAGCTCAGGGTACTGTATCAACATTTTCACATACTTTATTTTCAGATAAAAATGGGGAGGGAACCCACATGCGTTCTTTGGATGGCCTTATCCCTCCATCGGTCACTGAGAGTCTTGTCAACATTCTTCGAATCAGTTAGTTTTGGGCGATTCTGCCCTCACTGTGTACTAAATATGGGTGTGTTGAATTGAAACCAGTAGGGGTGCTTCTGTGAGGCCGAATGTGGTCAGTGATTCAGGCTGGACAGAATGCCAAGTTCATCCTTCTTGCCTTTCTCTGGAAAGTGCACAGAAATAATAACTGCATTAGAGAACACAAAATAAACAGCTGTCTAGCATTTTCTACCCTGCAAACACTACGACACACCACTAATCACCTGACTACGTATTGGCCTGCTCAAGCGAAAGGTCATCTAGGTGGGTTGTGTGACTTTTATCCACATGTATGTCTATGTTTTAAAAAAGAAAAGTCCCTCTTTTTCAGAGGTCAACAATTCCTTGAATGTTTGACCAGAATCCTTTTCTACAGAAGCTATTTGGTACAGAAAGATACATTGAGTAGCGTTTATTCAGTATCTATCATATTCTGAGAAGCACTCAATGGAGTTCTCAGGTTGTAGTAGAAACTCAATAAATGCCTACTCAGTGGATCTGTCCATATCTAGTAGCTTTTGCATAAAATGAGTTTGGCCAGCAGAGACATTTAATGTGCCACAAATCCTTCAGGGTATACAATCCACTCTGTGGGACAAAAGAGAACAAAGCTAGCCTTATGAGAAGATGGGTCAATGAAATGCTGCCACAGAAGTGCAAGCAATGGGGTGGTGGTGAAGACAAGAAGCTGAGTACTCATGGCAAGAATAGTAGAAACGAGATTGGAGAGACTGCATGAGGGAGACACCAGGTGATCAGAATCCTACATGACTATACTGCAGTGCATGGTAGAGGGTTGTACCATGCCACATGGTAGAAAATGTGTAATTGAATGCAGGAGTTTGCCCTGTAATGAAAGATGATGAGTCACATTGCTGAGGTCCTTAGATTCTAGGATAAACAGTTCAGACTTTATCCTCTGGGCCAATGAGAGCTGTTGATGTTTGTTGAGAATAGGAGTGTCTTCCTCATGTCCAGTGTTAAATGAGAAGTCCCCAGTGAAGCAGAAGTCACTCCTTACAGCCAGGCTCTCACTGCTAACCTTTGCAGCTCTTCAATGTTACTAAAATGGAAAAATAGTCAGTCTAGATCTTAGCCCGTCAATTGCAAGTACGTTCTATATTTTCTTTCACAGCAAAACACTTCTTTAAGTCATTACAGCAGAACCCATGGGGACAAACAGGGGCACAATTCTTGCTGCAACAGTCTCTTCATAGGCCCTTTGGCCTTTGTTGCAGGAATGGTTATTTACTTTAAAATAATTTTGATGTACAGAAAAGTTGTAGGAATAGTACAAAGGGAGTCCCTGTACTTATTGCTCAAAGACCCCTTTCATTTTGCTGACTGTCCCTGATGCCTGCAGAACCCAGTCCAGGATCTCAGGTTGTACTCAGTCTTGTCTCTTTAGTGTCCTATAATCTTCAATGGCTTCAACTTTCATGACCTTGAAGTTCTGAGGATTGACAGCCAGTTACTTTTGTAGATTATCCCTCAGTCTGTTTGCCTGATGCTTCCTCACTAGGAGAACCAGTCTGTGCACCTCTGGCTGGGTATCAGAGAAATGGCATGCCATGCTTTTTCCATAGGCCCCTCTCAGAGGGCGAAGGAGGCAGGCTTGTTCCTTGACTTGTGCTGTTGTCTCAGCCAAGATTACCAAGAACCGTCCCTTGTAATCACCAGCTGTTTTGTGGGGAGGTGCTTCAAGAGTATGCAGAAAACTTTCCTCAGCTGACCTACACTTCCCCGGTTCAAACCCACTGATAGTTCTCACTTGAATTCATTATTGTTGTGATGAATACCAAATGGTGATTTAAAAATTATGTCATTGTAACTGCATTTATTAGCTTTTTTTAATTATTAAGAAGAGAGTTTCTTTCCCTCATTTATCTACATCCGTAGGGACCCTGAGATTCCTACTTTATCCAATGGGTAACAATCCATTTACTTCTATTATTTATTTTTACTCGCAGTGTCCCATCTTCGGTGAGAAGTACTTTCAAATTCATGTCTATGTCCTTTTGACATGTCCTTATCATTCCTTAGCAATTTCTTTCCTTCTAGCATAAAAATAGATTCTAAGCTCATTTGGTACTTTTCTTACTCTAGCCTGATATCAGCTATTTCTTTCTTTACTTTTTATTTCCTTTTTAAGAGAGGTTTTTGCTATTTGGCACGTGTGCTTGTTGGAAAGATGGAGAGACAGAAAGTGAGAAATAACCTCCCAGGTGGGTGGCCACACTGAGATCCCTTCTCCTCCATTCTCCTCTTGGTATCTTGGGCATGCACACACACACACACACACACACACACACACACACACACACAGAGAGAGAGAGAAACACACACACACTTGGCATGAGTTTAAGCCGCTGGGTCTGGGACTCAAATAGCAGTCAACTATGTGGGAGTCCAGTGATGTAACCATTATGCCATCTGTTGGTTCTAGTATCAGCTATTTATTTCTTTAAGAACTTCTATTTGAAAACTAAGAACTAGGTTGTAGGAATACTCATTGCTCCTATAGTACTGTAGCTCCTATGTCCTCAAAGCTAGGAACTGTATGCCTGTAAGTATGAATGTGTGTGTGTGAAACTGGTGTAGACGTACTCACATTTAAATCTCTTCCTCTGTCTACCCATCCATCATTTATCTATCATCATCAATATCTATCCATATTTTTTGAGAGGTTTTTGCTATAGGGCACATGCACTCACCAGAAAGACAGAGAAAGACAGAGAGATAGAAAGCGAGAAATGACCCCCCAGGGGGATGACCATGCCACAATCCCTTCTCCTCCATTCTCCTCTTGGGATCTTGGGCACGCACGCACACGCACCTGGTGTGAATTTAAGCCACCAGGTCCGGGACTCGAACGGTGGTCAGCTACATGGGAGTTTAGTGACATAGTCATTACGCTAACTGCTGGTCCCCATATTTCTAATCTATCCACTCATCATTTGTCTATCATCTACATCTATCTAATTTCTATCTCTCTGCCATCTATCTCTCTAATCTATCTATCTATCTATCTAATCTATCATCTATCTATCTATCTATCTATCTATCGAATCTATCTATGTATCTATATCTATCTATCTATCTATCTATCTATCTATCTATATCTATATCCACCATCTATCTAACCTATCTATCAACCATCAGGAGTGTACACTCTAACCTGAATCTAATCCCACAGGTACTTTACGTAGTCTCCCTGTCCATATGTATAACTTGCTCCTCTAACAGTCAGAGTGCCTGCTCTGACCATAGTGACACACAAACACATACTGACACAGTATAAGGTGGACTCCCAGCGCTGCTTGCAGCTTCCTCACCTACCAGGCATCCTCCCTGGTGACATCATTGCTGCTGGCATCACCTTCCTAAATTCCCTGAGCTGCCGAACACATCTGCCTGAAAGCAAAGGAGTAGAGGCAGGGAGAAGAAGGGAAAGAAGAAGGAATGAGAGGGAGGTATCCTCAGAAATTTTAGTCTCATTGTCCCCTACTTTCCATGTTAATAATCAAGGTAGGTAAAAATAGCTTCTTCGTATGCTACTGTTATTCCACCTACCCTAGAAGAATCACCTGTCATCTGACAAGTGCTAAAATACTTAAATTCTAAAAGGAGGTTTTGCATAGAAAGGTAGCCACTGCTAAATATAGTTGGTTTATTCGTACATGTCTGCCTGGGAATAGCTGTGTGTGTCTTGACAATGGAAGAAGTGAAGCAGGTGTTTAGATACCGTGGCATAACTCTTCAAGAACACACTTCTTCAGATTCACATTAAATATACAATTTGAAGGCTGACCTTTCAGAGTAATTAAAGCTTCCTCCTTTATAGTCTTTATAGACATGCACAGCAGAAGCAAGGAGAGGCCTTTAATGACTAAGGTGGTGAGTGTGTGCAGGTGTCTGCCCCATGGAATTTAAGGGGAAAGTGCTGACTGGGACCCCCTTCCCACTGCACTTGCTGCTGGGATGGTTTTCTGGTCAGAGTGGAGCCAGTGCGTGGGGAGGCCACAGAGAGGAGTCCTGAACAGCGACTAGATTTGGGGAAGTGGGAAATGAAGAAGGTTGGCAGCCAGTGTGGCCCAGCCAGGGTACTCCATGGAGATGTTGAGGACACAGCAGTCATGGCTGGCAGTGGTGGGCAATTAGGCAGAGCCCTCCCAGTGGGCATGCCACAGGAGACCTGCTCACTGATGTCCACTCTCCTGTCCCACTGTCACTAAGAGTATGGCACATGGCCTCCTCCTTGCCGTACAATTCAGCAACACTGGTACTCGAGGAACAGCAACCACACTGGGGCCAGAGGACAGGCAGAGGATATCTCTGGTGCCAGGTTAGGCACATGCAGATAGACATGGCAGCAGCAGAATGCACCACTCACTCTGAACCCCCAGTTTTCGCATCAGTGAAATTTCATGGCTGGACAAGACCTTGATGAGGGCCTGCCCAGCTCTGACATCCTAGACTATCCCAGAAGCACAGAGCTCTGGCTGTGCTTCCTGCCTGGAACACCTGAAGGCCAAAGCTGTTACTTCCCTCTTTTGGCAGCAACTTGGGCATCCTCCCACCCTGAAGCTGCCCTGACAACTGTTACTCATGAGGGGGAGGGGCAGTGATGGGACTCCAGTCTGCCCAGAGTGGCTGGAGCAGGTCAGGGGCCTCCGTTGGCAGACCACTTTGGACTGCTTTTGTTCTTGTTCTGCAAAGCTGACTCTCCACCTAGTCCAGCAGGGCTCAGGTGTCTCCCCACACCTCTGTACCAAAGAAGCATGACTCTTTCTCAGGCCCAGAAGTCAAGGGGACCCCATCATGTGAGGTGGCAGTCAGCACATTACCTCTGCTATGAATTCCACCCTTTCTTACCTACCTGTAAAGGAGAATGGGAGTAGCTATTTAAGAAATAGCATGATCTCACTGTCCTTAGACTTATAAGGCTTTTTCATACAGGTATGGATATACTTCAGGGACAGGGTGACTCTGGGCCCTTGGCCTGTTCTTGGAGGAGACATGAGACTGGGAGCCTAACTTCTTACCATAGTACAATGCTAACAGGTTTGTAGGGTGCAAGATCTAGGATACTCTGAAAAATTGCCAAGGTCCATACTGTTGAACCTCCTAAGGAGCCCCACAATCCATGTAACTGTGTAATTTTAGAATTCCTTCTAATGGGACTTTCTGCTTCTTCTCCCTGGAGTCTCTGTTCATTGAAGGGGACATCAGATTCAAATGCTGAGACACCAGCACTGGAAGGATGAGATGGATGATTAAAACCCTGGGTTTGTCAGGCCAAATCCTGACATCATTGGTATTAGTGACAAGAGACACATTTGGAAAGAAAGTCATGCACATTCTGGAGAAAACAAGCTCTACTCCCCTCACAAAGTGACTGCAATAAATCCAAAAAGGTAAGATCATGGTCTTCACTTTGCATTTAAATTTTTTATTATTGTTTTTATATATTTTACATTCATTCACTGTATATCATTGCTGTATACCACGTGAGTTTTCCCATATGGAATACACTGTATATTGGCTCAATCACAGATATTACCATACATGTTATCATCAACAAATAATTGTCCATTTCTTGTTTCTTATATATTTTGCTTCTTTTTTCCCTCCTTGATTCCCTCCTTTTCACATGCTGCCATTTCCCTCCCTTCTCCCACACTGTCTCTGGAATGTATGGTTGCTTTCTATGCCTTTTTTTCATTTTTTATTAATTCACAAAAAAACTTTATTAATCTAAATACTTTCAATAGCAAGTGCAGCTTTTATAACCATACAGCCCTATTTGAAGGTACAGCTCAGTATCTCACCTTTAAAGAAATACTGTTTTCTTTTAAAAAATATTTATTTTAATTTTATTTATTATTATTATTATTATTATTAATTTGCTATAGGGCATGTGCACTTACCAGAGAGAGAGGGAGAGAGAGAAAGAGAGAGAGAGGATAGAGAGAAAGTGAAAAATGCAAGTGACCAAGTCTGGGACTCAAAACACAGTTGGCCATGTTAGAGTCTAGCACCTTAACCACCATGCCACCTGGTGGCCCATAAACTACTACTTGTAATAGGTCCTTCATTTCTTTGATCTCAAGATGAATATACATTTTATCTGACATTGTCCTAGAATTTCTTTTCCAGAACAATCATTTTAAAAATTCAGATTTGCAATTTAGCAGAAAAACATAGCTTGTGAATAAGGCCATTAATAGAGAGATAATTTAGGACATAGTTGATCTGCATATAATGTGAAAGAAAATGTTAATTCAAATGCCAAGTTGTCACAGTTTTCCTTTAAATCCAAGTCAAGTTTTCCCATTGAGAGATTGCCAAGACCCTTGGGCTTCTGTCTTCACCTAAATAGGCCTGCTCAGTTTATGTGGTGTCTTGAACTCCTCTGTATGATCTCAGGAACTTTTCACAGTGGAAGGGGTGCTCTTGGGTCTCTCATGAAAGAATGCATTGATCCTTTTGCTGTCGGTGACCCTATTTGTAGCACATTATTTTAAATGTCCATTACTACTAACATTAACTAACAGTTAATTACAACAGAATTCCTATAGAAGTGCATAAGAGAGTCATATGAATGCCAAATGAGTACATTAATAATTGGTGTTATCACAATGAATACAAAATGATTTCATAATGACTAGGGAGGTAATATATAATAAAAAGGAACTGTTCCTACTTTTATACACTTATCACAGATTTAAAACTCATTCTTGGCCTCCATTCAGAAACCTGAGAGCTTTTCCCTGAAGGTTTCTTATGAATCTGTCCATCTTCAATCAAAATCTAAACAGTGTTACTCATCATTAAGTTAAATTTTTAAGATAAATGTCACTTTACTTCTCCTTGCAAAGGTTTCTAGAAACACTAGCTCACTATCATCACTAAGTTCATTCCATTCATTTGTTTATCCAATCAATCCATAAACAATTATTAAGCCATATTATGTCAGAGGTATTGTGTAAGATACAAGGACAAAGAGAAAAAGAAAATTATCATTGAGAAAAGTCAAATGGAAAAAGATATGCAAAAATATAAGTACAATGACATATTTTATGTGCTGCAATAAACAGAGAGTGTTGGAGAAGAAAAAGAGCTGTCAGGGGTATTTTGGGATGGTATCACTGTCTAGGAGATATCTGAACTGGTCTTCAGTGCATGGGTAAGGTACTGGTAAATTGATAGTGAGTTGAGAGAAAGGTCATTTCCAGTGGAAATCATAGTCAAAGCAGAAGCAGAGTGGCTTGAAACTGCAAGATTAGAGAAGGGAATAAAAGAGTCATGAGAAAGGATGGTTGGATGTAAAGTCCCAGACACAGAATGGAGCCTAAAGCATTTGTCATGGCACTCTAAAGACGTTGGGCTTCTTTTGTTTCAAACTATGTAAAACAGCAATTTATAAACCAAAGAAACTCAATAAGGATCAAGCAAGATAAAATCAATGAAAATCCTTCATAGTCACAGAAAGCTAAATTTTTGAGACGTAAAGGTAGAGGGCAAATGTTGAAAACAGTCAGAGAAAAATAAGATACTACATAATAGACAACAGTGAATTGAATGGCAGCTGACTATTTATTAGAAGCGAGAATGTTAGACAACAGCAGAATGGCTTCTTCAAGAAGAAAACCACTATTAACCAGAATTTTATATCCAGCAAAACTATCCCTCAAAATAAAGATGAATAGATATGTTAGATAAATGAAAATTGAGAGAACTTGTTATTAAGAGGTCTGCATTAAAAGGAAGATCACTCTTCAGGCTGAAGGAAGTGATATCAGATGAAAAATACAGATTTTCAGGAAAAAAGACAGTGTCAAAAATAGTAATGTAGGTAAAAACAAAATACACACACAAATATGTACACAAATATAATATATATTCTATATATACACACATCTATCTTAATTTCTGTAAGATGTGATGTTCAAAGTTAAATTTTTAATATTATATTGTAGTATTTATAACATAAACAGATGAATATCTGTGGTAACAATAGCACAAAGGATGAAATACAGAACTGAATGTAATTATAATGCTACAAGATCTCAATGTTTTACTTGCACCTGTACATAATTACCTCTAAATAAATAATGTTAAGTAAAAGGTGCATATGTAATCTCTGAATAAGTCCTTAAAAAATAATACAAGAGGTATAACTAAAATGCCGACAGAAAAATTTAAATGCTGAACTAATAATAATTGATTAATTCAACTCAAGACAAGAAAAATACAGAGGTGCCAAAACAGAGAGAAAACAAATAAAAGACAGACAGACAAAATGGCAGGCTATATGCTACTATATCTGTTGGGTAGAGGTTTCTTGTTGGTGATGTCTCTGAATTGCTTCATTATCCTCTACCTGCCTTCCTAGTTCTTTTACTTACTTTTGTAAACAATTATGTGCAATATATTTCCTGGGTTTTAAATATTAGAGTGATTTTGGTTTTTACTCTTTTGGTTCTGACTGATCTGTGTCCAGTACTAGGAGACTGCTTAAATAAATCATGCACTGGTTAAAAAATGGAATATCATATAGCTAGTAAAACTAAGGTAGGGGGATATAAAATGACCTGGGAGAGCATCATAGTAGCAATATAGCTAACAAAACACTTTGCTCATTGGACAGTAACTTCTAGAATTCACCCACATGTTAATATTAGTTGATTCTGAATGTGGAGATTACAAAGAATTTTTATTTTCATCTCTAGAGTTTCTAAGTGTTACTTTTTTTCTGTCAAAAATTGGTTATGTTTGTAATTAGAAAAAAATGAAATGGAAAGAAGAAACAGGTGAAGTGTATGATCTAAGGCAATGGAAGTGCAAATGAAGGGGGAATGGTGAAGTTTGTAAGGCATTTCTAAATTAAAGTTGAGATGACCATGATTACCTGGGCATGAGGAACGACTAGTGTGATATTAAGGGGGATCTCCAGCTTAATAGCTCCTCAGAGATGAGAACCCACGGGTACCTGAAAAGAGGTAGTTTTGGTTCATGCTAGTTCCCAGCTCAGTTCAGATGTCAAGAAGGCAACTGGACACAGGAACCTGGCATCCTGGAGAGGTCCGAGATAGAAATTTTAAAGTTATTATTATCTAGAAATAGCAATTAAAGCCAAAGGAGTGACTACACCAGCTCAGGAAAAGAGCAAAAAAAGATTAGACTGAACTCTTTCATTTCATGGTAAATGCCAAGACTTGAGTAGTTAGAGGAGGAAAATCTAGCTCTAGAAACTGAAATGGACCGTTCAGAAAACTGGAAGAAAATTAGGAAATAATGATGTCCTAGAAACTAGGCAGAAAATAGTTTAAGAAAAAGAGCATTGTCAACAATATTGAATGCTACAAAGAAATTGTCTAGATTGTTTGTCCTTAAATTTGGCAATTAGGAAATTACGGAAGATTCCATAAAGAGCTATTTTAGCAGTGGTCTGGACAGAACTTGAATTTTAATAGAGGAAAATAGGTTTCCATTTTTTCGTTGAAAAATTTTTTTTAAATTTCTTTTATTATGTTTTTAATCACTAGAGGGTACATGCACTCACCAGAAAGAGAAAACACACTTAGTGAAAGGGTGGTCATATTCCAACTCCTTTCCTCGCTTTTTCTCCCTATTAGGATTTCGGGCATGTATGCACACACATACAAGCATGCTTTTCAAGCTGCAGATGATTAGGATTCAAACCGTAGTCAGCTATGTGGGGTTTGGCTGCCAGTGCAGAGTGCTTAACCACTCTGCTATAGGCAAGTCAGTTTTCCTTCCTTCCTTCTTTCCTTCCTTCCTTCCTGCCTTCCTTTCCTTCCTTTCCTTCTTTCTTTCCTTCTTTCCTTCCTGCCTTCCTGCCTTCCTTTCCTTCTTTCTTTTACTCCCTCTCCTGCCTTCCTTTCTTTTCTTTTTCTCGCCATGAGCAGGAGCTAGAGAGAATCAGAGGCTCCCAACAGGGCCTCTGTATTGTGATCCGCTGTCTGTGCCCCCAACCCGGGAACATGGGCCAGTCACACCTCACCTGCTCAAGGAGATCTCTGGACATGAACTCTACTCTTACCATCTGGGTCAGCCTTACAGGGCGATGCTGTGCCATCGTCCAACCCTTGATTTCCATTTCTTTGACTATATTTTTCCTTCTACAAGTGAAAAATGAAAATGACCCTTACCCTGTGAGAGAGCTGGAAAACTGTTTTGTGCTCCTGGCTGCAGGTGAATTTCCCCTTTATTCATCATATCAATGCTCTCTCCTCTATCCACCTATCCGTCACATAACTATCTTGCTTACAGTGTACATTCAAGATGCAGTATTATCCTGTTTCAGGTACCCACTGTGGTCCCTAAAATGTATTCCAAGGGAATGAGAGGCTTTTGTGGAAGAAAAACAGTAAGCATGGTATTTTCAAAG